ACTCGAAGACAGCAGGGGAGTTAAAGTTGACTCTACCACAGCGAGCCAAAGACAGGACAGCCCACAACGCGAACACGACCAAAAAATCTAGACCTGTTATAGAACAGACAAATGCTGTGGAACGGGACCCTGGATCGGCAACCTGGGGTGGTGGGGGCCAGGATCCCCAGAAGGAGGGGGTCATCACCAGGACGGTTTTCTTAATTAGTTCGGCCAGGGCGTCCTGAGATATCATTTTGTGTAGTTCGACCCACGTGTTGAGTTCCTTGTCATTAAGGTTGCAGTGAGGGGGGCTGTGTAAATCCAAATCTTCCAGATTTCCAAAGCGGTGTTGAAGGTATAAAAAACGGCATCGGTAATATTGCGGGCCAGGAATGCTGATCATCAATTCCTTCCGTTCTGGACCAGCTTGTTTGGCAGCTGTAAAACGAAATTTGAAGGCAGGGTCGCAGTTAGCGGTTGCAGAAGAAGCATGTTGTTGTTTGGGTTTAGGATTGTCTGATTTCGCCAGTGACGACGGGGGCCGTTTTCTTGATTAAGCAGGTGTTGAAGAGGTCACCCGAAGCAAGGGAAGGTGAAAGGTCTTGGCTCGGGTCTGAGACTTGCGCGTAGCTCAGAGGCTGTGACTGAAAGTTCCATATTTGTTTCCTCAGTGTCGTGGTCCATTTCGTCGGTAGTGTTTTCTTCTGTTGCCGTGGTTGGTATAGGGGGTCTAGGGATGGCTCCCCCCCGCCCCGGAAGCTTCAAGGCGTTGAGTAACTGTAGGTCTTGCACTATGCTGTTTATCGCAATTTTGAACAACGTGCTCGGTGGTATTGCACCGATAACACGTAAGCGGTTATCCAGTGTATGTAAAATTAATTTTGACTCCTTGAGTCACTATTCTGCGGGGTAAATCCCTGTTAATTTTGACGAATTCAGCCACGCAGATCCCACGCTCAATATGAGAAAATCCTTCCTCCTAAAAGTAAACGTGGCGAAGGTTTTCAGTTTTTAGCTCACCATATTGCTTTAAAAGGTCGATGATCATGTTGTCTGGGAATTCAGCCCGAACAAACCAAGAGATGTGGATCGCTCTTTTGCTGAGAAGGTGCAGGGGTTTTTGGAGGTCTCCATAATCAAAGCCACTTGGGCCAGTCTTGCTGTGACCTTGTGGTCGCGCAAAGTAATATCGATACATTTCTCTCCGAAGAGGGGCACAACGCCAGTGATATCAGCTTGAAAATGCGGTAGTGAGGCGATAACTTAGAGAGAATCAATTCGCATGTCATTCTCAATTATAAGGCGAACAGTTCTTTTGTGGGCAAAGACGCGGTGAGAAGGACTCGCGGCCATCTTGCAAAACACGTGTGTCGCAAGAACAAAAAATGGCGAAAAAACACAGCAAACGGAAAATAACTCTCAAAGTAGAAATCCACGGACAAAAACCAACCACAAGTGAAGCCATCCAGGCATATGGGAAGGGAATAATCACGTTTTTAGCGGAGAAACCGAATACGTGACCGATGAGAACAGATTTTTTTTTTAAATTTCTATTTCAATACCGTCTGTCATCTTATTTGACATATAAATAAGAGCAGTGTCCTGTTTACATTATTCGCATCCAGTTATCAGTTTAACAAAAGTCACTTCCAGTTTACAACAAGGATACACTTCCGGTCTACAATAACGTCATTCCGATTTACAATACTTGAAAAATGGTCTCTTTGGTTTGCAGAGGAAAATGTGAGTGTATTCGGGTTCTGTTGAGTTCATTAAAGAGAAAACTTGATCATTAACTTTTGCCTAGTAACCTCACAAATGGAGTCATGACACCACAAGGAGCAAAATTTCCTCTCAGGAAGTCAAGAAAAATCTACAAGTAATCGGGTTGTAATGTCATGACAGATATATCTAATAATGGTCCGATGATCCTCGGTGCCGTTATGAAAGGTGGCTTTATTACAAAAATGCTAGAGGGCGTAGAGGACTGTCTTAACTAAGTAGCATGCTTTTGCATTGTTCTTATCACGTGCATTAAACCGTGAGTAAAAGAAAACAGATTGATAATTCACTACAAAAGACTGAGGGAGGAGACTACAAAAGGATGGAGGTTAAGGTGGCCCACACCCTCTTAGCTCTAAGACAGTTCAGAAAGCAATGATCAATAGTTTCTTTTCGACTACAAGGGGCACAGAGGTCTGAGTCCAAGTATCCCCAAGATTTAAGGGAGTCTCGCACTTTTACGGCTCTCNGCAAAATTTCCTCTCAGGAAGTCAAGAAAAATCTACAAGTAATCGGGTTGTAATGTCATGACAGATATATCTAATAATGGTCCGATGATCCTCGGTGCCGTTATGAAAGGTGGCTTTATTACAAAAATGCTAGAGGGCGTAGAGGACTGTCTTAACTAAGTAGCATGCTTTTGCATTGTTCTTATCACGTGCATTAAACCGTGAGTAAAAGAAAACAGATTGATAATTCACTACAAAAGACTGAGGGAGGAGACTACAAAAGGATGGAGGTTAAGGTGGCCCACACCCTCTTAGCTCTAAGACAGTTCAGAAAGCAATGATCAATAGTTTCTTTTCGACTACAAGGGGCACAGAGGTCTGAGTCCAAGTATCCCCAAGATTTAAGGGAGTCTCGCACTTTTACGGCTCTCAATGTACTAAGCCAAGCTAAATTATTTTTATAGTTTTCAGTCAAGGAATCATGGATAAGGGACCAATGAATAAGAAGACATATAGGGGGTAACCCAGGATAGTGGACCACCTGTATGGAAGGACAGGGACTGAGGTGGCATCTTTCAGCAATTCACTATAACAATTCTTGGAGGAAAAACAAAAACTAGACATCGCCGGTATTCTCTTAGTCACGGTTGTCAAGAAGTTAAAGACGCATTTGTAATACTTAGAAGGGGCTAAGGCACTTGGGGAGGAGTTGTCACGTAATTGTGACCACTCCCCCCTGACTCTGGCTAGTTGAGAACCAATAAAATATTTCATTAACAGAAAACCTTTAGTGTCTGGGTTATCAATGGTATTCACAAGAGCTGAAACCTTAAGGGCTTTGCTCTTACACATAAAATCAATGAGGCCTAGGCCACCTTTGTGGACCGGAACAGATAAAGACTTTCTACTAACAGTCTCTATCTTAGAACCCCACAGAAAAGGAAAAACAAGTTTCTTAAATTGTGAAACAACCCACTTTGGGGTGGGTAAAACCTTAGCAAGGAACCAAAATTTACTTGCTCCGAGGATATTAATGACAAGGACTTTCCCGACAAGGGATAAGAAACGACACTTCCACAGATTAATATGAGATTCTAACTTAGAAATCCTAGGTAGCCAATTGTCTGGATCGACATTGACTAACCCATTGGAAAATCAGACACCACAAATTTTCATTTTTGTAACCCATGATAGCCCCAGAGGCATATCAGATCTAGAGCTCCAAGCACCCAGCCACATGGCTTCGGTCTTACTCAGATTAACTTTCGCACCAGTACCTCTCTCAAATTTCCGTAACAGGTAAAATAAATTTTGTAATGAGCAGGTGTCTTTAACAAAGCAAGTAGAATCGTCTGCATAATGTGTTAACTTGAAATAGCTGTTAGCACCAGGAAGGAGGAGAAAGCCTTGAATACCAGTATGGTTACAAATATTCTGTGCTAGTACCTCAGCACATATAACATAGTGAAGGGGACACACTGAGTCACCCTATCTGACTCCTCTTTACAGAAAAATTTTCTCTGTTAAAAAGCCAGTGACTGTAATTTTCATGGACGTGCCATGATATAGGGTGGAAATCTACCATAAAAACCTGGGACCAAAGCCAAAGCATTCTAAGGTGCAACATAGAAAGGTATGATCAACACAATCGAAGCTTTCTATTGATCGAGACTTACAAGGATACCGGTCTCATCGGTACTGTTTGCATGGTCTAAGACATCCAGAAACAAGGCTAAGTTCTCAAAAATAGTCCTACCAGGCACAGAACAAGTTTGGTCTTCATCAATAATTGATGACAATACTTTGGCCAGTCGATTAGCGATCGATTTCGAACAGATTTTATAATCAACATTGAGCAAGGAAATAGGTCGCCAATTTTTTAGTTTTTATCCTCTTTTTTAAATACAATTCGAGTGACATTTTCTTGCATAGAATCACAAAAAACCTTTTTTGAGACTGAAGTTAAAAACTCTTAGTAAATAAGGGGCAAGAAGGTTCCACAATTTTGCATAAAATCATACTGTGCCCTATAAAAGAAAGATCCCTCTGTGACCACAAACCTAACGATTGCTTTAACTTATAGAGCTTAGACTTCTAATTATCAATATCACTAACTAACCCATTGCTAAAACAAAGACCCAAGATTCTCATTTTCTGTGCCCATTTAAGGGAGAGGCACCATTTACCTGCCACCAAATTTAACAATCATGCCGCGCTCTATAAAAGAAGGAACTCTCTGCGACCACAAATCTAAAGATTGCTTTATGTTATCGAGCTTAGACTTCCAATTATCAGCATCAACATTAACTAATCCATTACTAAGATGAACACCCAAGATTCTCATTTTCTGCACTCATTTAAGGCCAAAGGGGGAGCACACTTGCTTGCAACCGGCCAAGCCACATAGCTTCAGACTTTCCTGTGTTGAGCTTGGCCCTGCATCCCCTCTTTTATCTATTCACTTCAGACAGTAAATGACAGAGACACCTGTCTGATTTAACAAAATTGGTAGTGTGGTCGGCATACTGAGAGATCTTAAATTGAAAACCCCCGGCTCCCGGCAGAAGAAAACACTCGATGTCCTTACACTTACGAACCTAAGTAGACAAAACCTCAGAAACTAGAACATAGGGGAGGGGGGAGGGAGGACCCCCTGTCTCGCCCCTCACTCCAAATAAATAGCATCAATAAGCCGGCCATTACAAATTATACGGGAAAAACGTTCGAATAAAACACAAAAACACAGCGAAGAAAAGAAGGGCGAAAGGCAAACTTAATTAAAACCTTCATGAGAAAAGTATGATCGACTCTGTCAAATGCTTTGTCTTCATCAAGAGTGACTAGGATACCAGACTCATCCGTCTTATCAATCATATCCAAGAGGTCACGGACTAAATGTTAATTAGCAAAAATAGAACTGCCAACGACCCCACACGTTTGATCCAAGTGCACAATCGAGGCCATAACCTTTTTCAAACTTTTGGTAATAATCTTAGAAGCCAATTTGTAATCCGTATTCATAAGGGAAATAGGACGCCAATTTTTTGGGAAGGGTCGATCCTTCTTCTTGTGAAATAAACATAAGAGAGCCTGACATTGACTCAAATTAAGCAAACCGGTGTTATAGCATTCATTTAAAACAGAAAGTAAAGAATCACTAAGGTCATCCCAGAAAGCGGAATAAAATCCAGGTGGAAGGCCATCAGACCCAGCCGATTTACCTGTCTGAAGGCCCAATAAAGCGGTAAATAACTCTTCCTTCATAAATAACCCTTCACACAAGTCATGCTCATAATCAATTAGACAAGTGTCAAGGTCATAAATTAATTCCTCCCGAAGTTGCATATCTAGAATGTCCTTGGAAAACAGAGAACTAAAATGAGCTCAATATCTGCCTGGGAATACTTTTCTGTACCATCAACATCTAAAAGAGAAGAAAATGTATTCTCTACCCATTTCTGCCCAAGATGAAAGAAAAACAAGTCAGCTTTTCACCCTCTTCTATCCATTTAGTACGCAATTGTATATAAGCCCCCTCACAACTCTTCTTAATCAGAGAAGTGAATTTTTTCAAGGTCATTAACCGTTTCCACGTATCAGTTGTCACCAGAAAAAACTAGCTGTTTGGCCCGGATAAGCTGCTCAGTTAACAAATCACGTTCCCGATTTAAACGCTTACGTTTTTGAACAGAATAGTCTACAGAAGTACGCTGGGGTGAAGCTTTTAAATCTTCCCACCAAGCACCCAGACAACTAAACCTAATGATAAGAAGATTATGACAAAGAATAAGATCATGCATTTTACCAACAAAATCACTGTCAGCCAAAAGTTTGCAATTAAATTTCCAAACCCCGCTCCCGTGGGGTTACCGTTGCAAGGGGACAATAATAAATCTACATAATCATGATCGGAGAGCGTGCAAGGAAAACATTTATTAGAGCGCACTAACCAGAGTAAAGATCTAGAGATAAGAAATTGATCTAATCTGGAAGCTTCAGAAAAATCACTGTTCGCCCAAGTATAAGAGATCGAGGAGGGATTCCTTTTGCGCCAAACATCAGCGAGACAGAAATCGGCCTTCAGGGCGGATAAGACTCACCTGTCGGTACCAAAGTCCGATTTAATATTCAGTCTGTCAATAACAGAGTCAATGCAATTAAAATCCCAACCTAGAACCAAAGAACCTTGAGACAAAAAGAAGGTATGGAAATTTTCGAAGAAAACTCTGTGATCAGAAATGGTGCATAAAGGCTGACTAAGTTAATGACTCTGGCTCTTATTCCTTCAACCACTTTCCAATCATCGTCTTCCTCAGACCTGTGATCAGAACGGCTGTAACTGGGGTAGTAGTCCTTATAAGAGGGGGAGTACTGATAGTACTCCTGGTTGTAAACAAATTTTCCTCGAATAAATCCTGAGAAGCACTGCGGTGGGTTCTGCAGTTCGTGGTATAGGTGGCGAGGATGTTTGTGCGGACTCGTGATTTTCAACAACAGCGAGAGCTACGGTTGTGGCCGTTGATTGAGCAGCTAAATCCGGACAATTTGCTCGTACTTGACCCAGCATATTACAGGAAAACAGCGTTGTTGACCTTGATGAGGGCAATTGCGTCCCAGGTGATCGGCAGAGTTACAATAAGGACAACGTGAAATGCGACCGGAGAAAAACAAAGAAGAATGACAGCCATGTAGTGTAATGAAAGACGGGAGAACCTCTTTGGGAGTACCTTCCCCGTTCAGTTGTGGAACTACCCGAAACTTGCCAGATTTGATTGAAGAAAAGTCACGGAGGAAGATGGGATGAACCTGCTTGAATTGGGCGTATTCCTGTAGCACAGTTTAGGTATCTGTGGGCATCGTGCCCAGAGGTGCAACTGCCACTGTTGCAGTGATCAAGCGCTTGTTGTAAAGAATTTGTGCAATCTCCGCGGCTTTTGCAAGCGGGAGGGTTGAGAACTTTACCGAACAGTATTGAATTGCAGCAACTAAATGACTTGCTGTGACTCCAGCAAATGACATGACGATATTTGAAGCAAAGGGATGAAACCAGGATGAAAAAAACACAAGCAACTTCACTGACTAATGCGATAAAAAACAGCAAAATTCATTCATGTCTGAGGTGAGTGGAATGCCGCCAGACTTAAGGTCTAGAACCAACGCAACAAACAGGGCAGTGCACCAGCACACAAACAGACTGGGGGAATTGAACCCCCGCCCCTACATACACAGTACAGGACAAAAACATCTACAAGACTAACAAATACAGGACAAAAGAACAAGTTAAAAGACACCGGCACCGCCTAAAGACAGGAAATAAAACTAAGAACACACTCACCCGGTAAAAAACCCCAAAGAGGGGAACTAAAGACTAAAATACAACTTAACTCACTCAGCAAAAACAAAACAAACAAAACACACTCACTCAAGCAAGAAGGAAACCCAGTGCAACCAATTAAGGAGACCAAGAAACCAAAGACACACACACTCAAGCAGAAGGAGACCAATTAAGAAGACAAGGAAAAGTGCTTAGAGGCAAAATTTAAAAGCGCCATCCTCAGCAGAACCAACCACACTGCACACACCCCACTGGCGGTGAAAGTAGCGTCGACGCCGAGAAGATTTGAAACGCATGATAAAAAGGACCAAATGAAACTTAGCTCTCGCGTTGGTTTTCACAATAATGGGCAGAGCGCCGGGACAAACATCACGAAAGCGAAAGTCGTTCCGGGCATGCCAAACAAAGTACTGCAGCAAACAGAGGAGATCGATGAAAACACGAGGAACAGCACGAAGCTCAGAGTGAGAGAAACCAAACAGAACATGTCAAGAAGAAAGAGTGGGACACCGAGGAGAAAAACGAAACATAAGGGACATGCCATTAGAACAGTAAGCTAGAAGCGAGAGCACATCCAAAAAACAGATAAGAGGGAGTCTCATTAACAGGGCCACAAAAGCAATGATGGTCATGAGAATACCCAAACGAGATCAAGCGGTCAAGAGAGGCCACATACCGCACCCGGGATAAAGCTAGTGCCTGGATTACAAGAATCAGCAACATCCCCAGGACAATGTAAACGCCAAGGACCTTGATCTTAACTGAAGTCCAATCAAGATCCACTGGAGGGTCAAGACGCCGAGACCACGGGCCCAGCCAGAGACCCTTTGACTTAGACATTTTGAGCTTTGAACCCGAGCCTCTTTCGTACCGATCGTAAGTTCGGAAAATGGCGCAAATAACAGCCTTGACGGACACCACGAGACAAAGAGAAAAAAGAGGATAGGTAACCATAAACATTGACAGCGCCCTGAACATTCGTGTAAAACAAACGAACCCAGTTGACAAAAGAAGCCCCATAACCCATAATGCGAAGAGTAGACAACATAAAACCCCAATCCACGCTATCAAAAGCCTTCTCCTGGTCGAGAGAGAGAATATCAACTGCAGAATCAAATGTCGTAGCATATGAGACGTCCCGAAGAAAAGCAACATTCTTGCCTATAGAGCGGCCAGGCACCCCACACATTTGATCTTTTGCAACAACCAAGTGTATGACCTTTAACAGCCAGCCGGCAATGGCACGAGCATCAGTCTTAAGGTCGACATTCAGAAGGGAAATCTTAAGCCAATTGCGAGCATCCAAGCGGTCCCCTTCTTAAAGGTCAAATAAAAATACCTCTGCACTGAGAGACAAAGACCCAGAATGATAACGAGTAAATTCTTTTCTCTTGAATCAATAACCTATATAAGAACCATATCACTCCATCATTTACTTGTCTAAAATGACGCCATCGATTCCTTCAAAGTCTTCCATTTGCTCATTAACAATCACATCATCCGCATCATCACGCTCCTAACTGTTAGAAGGTATACTGAAGTAGGTGTCTATGTGCTTGGAACCTCTGAGAGATGATTCTCGTCTTTTTACAGATCGATCATAATGCGCTGTAAACAGTATGGGTGCTTATACTTGAAAATAGTGACAACTATAAAAAGTACATCGCAACCTACCTCTTTCGAAATAGGACACCTTCCCTTGTGTTGTGCGACTAGTGGCAGCAACTCGTAGAATCTTTGAGCAAATTCCACACTTGAATAAATCTTCATTGTGGGCTGTTGAACCTTGCAACACTTTAAGTTCTGAAAGAAAGACAAGCAATTTAGTGTTGCTGAGGGAAATGGGTCGCAAATGTCATGGCCGTGACATATCTTTATCTCCCATAAACATACTGCTTATTTCAAACAAAGTGTAATAAGAGACTTGATGGTGCGTTATCATGATAAGATCATGCTATGTGTGACAAGTTACTCCTTAATTTTGGTGCGTAATTTCAGCATTAATTTGTAATCATGTGAAATTACAAAATTGCTATGACAACCTTTAGCACGAAATTTCTCGATACAATAAACACACCAAACACCCGCGATTATGAGCTTAAGTTGACTAATTTGTCACCCATGGTATTAAAAGTAAAGGCTCGCGACATTATAATTTTGACAAAACGCACGTGAAATTACTAGTCTTACTGATTTCCTAATTTCATTTGTCGACATTTGATTACCCATACTTATTATCTTATACCAAAAGTTCTTATTCGTTCTTCAAGAAATGCGACCGGCCTGTGTATGTCCTGGCACTAATCATAGAGGAGCATTTTTGTGGTTAAGAGCACTCTAATTTAGTTTTTCAATACCTTCATTTAACTGTTGAAACTCGCGTTCCTGTCACTCGTTTCGTTTCAAATTACTGGATACATTTTGCCCACTTTCTTTGAGCCTTTTTGACAAAGACGTGTCTTCCTTGGCCTCCTCACAGCTTTTTCTTTTCTTTTTCTCGCCTTTTGTATTGTTTTTTCTCTCTGTAGGCAGAATTGATGGGTGCTTCTTTTGCTGTTGATCAGCTATTACTACAACTCCATCTTTATTAGCCCAATTGATTTTCTTCTGTACAACGTGAACTGCCATAAAAAAGCTGAGAATGAAATCAAAATATCTGAGATTGGAACTTTAAGCGGTAATTTGTATGAGTACAGTAAAACTTTTAATACGATTTAATACTTTGGTGAACAAAATCGCAGGAAATTAGTCTGTCCACAAACGGTTATTTTTTTGCAAAGAGTTATTTTCTTCGAGTGCGCGGAGGGTGACAGTGGCCGCGAAGCGGGCGCAGAAAAGAATATATTTGTCTTTCCCCATGGCCACCCCCTTACGTTAGCGCGCCTTCAAATCCCCCGCAGTTTCTATTTTGTTTGTGATCTCGATGAACTCTAAACAAAATAGAGGGTGTGTGGACAGACCAGCAGGAAGTAAGCCCAGTGACTTGCTCGGCATACAATCATCAGTGAATTAGTATTTCATTTGAAGGGGTGAAGTGTTTGGTTTCTATAATGTTTTGTTTTTAGCTGCTGTACTGCATGTTTTAATGTATGAATTTACATACGATCAACCGACACCACTAAAATCTGACGTGTACAGTCCCTCCAGGAAAGGTGTTGAGAAGCAAGCACACGCGGTGGTTTGCACTGCTGCCGCAAAGCTACAAAATGTAGTCATACTTAAGGCCACCGTAATTATAACAAATAATTTCAAGAAAAATAAATGTTACATAGTGTATTATGTGAAAACAAGAGCGAAAATATTCTGAAAGCGTAGCTGTACCCAGAAGGTTTTTCCGAACTAACTTGCATGCCTATATTTAAACCACTACATGAAACAAATACACAAGCACTAAGAATACATACTGTTCATTTCACTTCCTGAGTCATCCAGCATACTTGGAAGCTCCAGCTTCCACTGGTCGTCCGTTGTAATGGCGAAGTTATCACTTTTCCCGCCCGGTTTCGGTGCCATCCGATAAAGCTTTATATCGAAATCTCCAAGGCCGTATTTAATTAATTGTTAGTTCCTTCAGACCAAGGAATTGAATAAGGTGCGTTTTGAGAGCATGTACTGTATTTAAGTCATTTATCGGAATACGGTTTCTATATCTTTCGAATGCCATATCCGAATTACTGCGGTAAAAGCTTACAATTGCTTTAATAACGCCAGCATTGGCAGCCATCATGTAAGATGGCGCGTGCTCGGGACTGCTCAGCGTGAGTTTGTAAGTTCGAGATCAGAGGTGAAAATTATGACCCTGATGTACATAGGTCATACAGTAAATTATTAACGAAATATGACACTCAAGTGTCCTGCTGCTAACATTTGATATAAAACGTGCATTTGTTTGACGAAAAGAGTAAAACATTGTTATTTACAAAGGGTTTTAAAGGATATTTAGGGCAATAAGATCTTTTGTCAGTTGTCAGTAAAACCCTCTACAACTTTCAGTTGTCAGTTAAATTTTAGCCTATTTGTCAGTTGTCAGTTAAAATTTTGGTCATTTGTCAGTTGTCAGTTAACCCCATCCAAACCCTCTTTTAAAGTAGATAATCTTAGTCTGAATTATACGGAAAAGGAAAAAGAGAACTCTGGCAAATAACAGGATTTAAAGTAAACAAAACATACCAGGTCCATTAAGTTTTCTTTAGATGGTGTTTCTTGTGTTTGTTTGTCCTATTTCGAGAATGATTGCGTTTGCCTAGAGGAGTGTTTTCGTCGGTTTCGTCGGAAAGTTCACTTTCTTTGCCAGTAATGAGTGTAGGTTGGGTAGCGATCCTTGTCGGTGCTGAACTATCGATGTGCTTAGCAGGTTTGCGGCCATTCGGTAAAGGAGGGTTAGGCAGAGGGGTTGCTGAAATATTTTCCATGCTCGGTTCAAACAGTTCGGCGGAATCCTGGAAATTTCATCATCATCTTCAGAGGCGGTAGAGAGTACTTCGTCAGTCAGTTGATGTTCGTCAGGAGTAATAGTAGCGTCGCTTTCCATTTGGTCGAGCTGGTGAGCAGTCGCTGGGCCAACCGAGAACTGAGAAATTTCCAAAGATGGTTCGTTGTTGTCCGTAGGCGAGTCAGTCGAAGGAACAGGCAGTGTGTTGTCTGGTTGATTGTTAGGAAGAATTTCGGTGACGTTGGTCCAAGAAAAAGGACATTTGCGAGCCAGATGACTTGTAGCTTTGCAGATATTACAAGCAATAGGAGCAGGGCAATCGCTAGCCAGATGACCGGTTTTTTCACAGTTAAAACAGATGATTGTATGACAGGCGTTGGCGAAATGCGAAGCTGAGTGACAAAGGCAGCACGTTTTAGGCTGTCCAACATAACGAAACTGAATAAAGGTCTTGCCGAAGCGCATGTAGCTAGGGATGGGCTTTGTCATTCGAACATGATAATGCCGGCTTTCATCCTGAACATTTTCCCATCCAGGGTTGCCAAAAAACCACGTCGGTAGGTGACAACTTCACAATGATCTGCTAATCGTTGAATGATCGCTGAGTCAGGGAGTTCATGTGGCGCGTCGAAGATTTGCACAAAAGTAAGCGGGCAGTCAACGTCTTGAATAGCATAAGGGGCACCATTGACTTTGAAAACTCTAAAACGAATAAAGGGTTCTTTAAGTTCAGCTTTACAAAAAGTTAACAAGATTTCACCGCTAGCTTTATGTTAAATACACGCAACACTTGAGCCATCAAGGCCAGCGTCTTGTAGGGCGGACAAAACATCACACGAAGGAAAACGGATTTGAGGCGAAAAAAAGGCAGTTAGCGGTCGGCCTGGTAAACGGTTCTCATCTTCTGGTCTTACAACTGATTCCCCAACTTCTCCAGCTACGATTTCATTAAAACGAGCAGGTAAAATGGGGCCATCGACCCCGCGAACGACAGCAACTACATCTTCACGCGACTCATCAAAAACAACTCATAAAGCATGTGTTCGTTGCGAGGAACCACCTGGCAATCGCTTACTAATAACAAAGGATTTTTGAGAGGGCAAGCCCTCTAAAAACAAAAAACCACAACTTTTTAAAAACTACAGTCCTAATGGCGTAAGAAACAGATACTTTTTTCTTTTCTTTAAATAATTTATTTACAGATCTCTAGAAAGAAACAGAATTTTTTTTAAATATAAAAACCCACACAGGGGTGTTTTATTGAACAGGCAACTCGACGTATTTACAAGAAGAGGAGTTTCCAAAAAAAGTGGAACTAAGTTAACACTAACTATTTACAAGACTTCCGGGAACTAATGGAAAAAAAGCTAAGAGAGGTTAACTGAAATAAACTAGAACGGTTATTGCCAACGAGCCATCCGAGCAAAGACGCTTGGATGGCGAGGCGGCAGCAGAATAGAGCCGCGCAAGACTGGGTTGAGAGGCAGAAAAATACTCGATGGAGCTGAAAAATGTGTAACCTGATGTAATGTAGATTCCCCTGAGACCAAGTGGTCAGTTCTCAACCAATCAAAAGGCAGTACCTATCGCACTGGCTAAAGTTGAATGTGGCATGCTTTTTAAAATACAAAATGTCACACAATTCCGGCCAGGTTTGTGAAGCCACCAGACTGAATCTAAGAACTGACTCTCCTCCGGAACCTCATAAAGTTCTTACATGCATAACACCTTTTCAAGAAAATAATCCTTACAAGAGGAAGGGCCCAAGAAACGGTCAAATGGGGAAAAAAAAGGAATTTTATTCCTAAGCAAAATACGCATGATTCCCTCGTTGGCACTCTATCGATAGGTATACCTAGTATACAAGGCGTTCAACAAAGTAAATGATCACAGGCAAAACATAAGGTGGCTAGACAAAAATTAAGTAGCAGCTAAATAGAGCAAATAACAACGAAAGCAACTATAAACAAGATTTCCGGGAACTAATGGAAATTCACTTAACAGAGGTTCAAGGCGTTTGACAAACTAAATGTTCATAGGCAAAACTAACTTAAGGCGGCTAGAAAAATTAAGGAGCAACTAAATAGAGCAAACTAAAGACTAAAGCAGCTGTATACAAGGCTTGTGGGAACTAATTGAAAGTAAATTAACAGAGGTTCGCTTAAGTAAACTAAAGCGGCTATATACAAATATGTAGAAACAGCTAAACAAAGCGAACTAGAATTAAAAGCGCCTATGTACTTCTCAGTAAACAAAAATATCTAGGAGCAGCTAAATGGACAGTAAGGGAAAAAAAAAAGAGTGAGCATCAGAAATCTTACAGAGAATATTACCAGTAGACCAGAAGTTTTCTTTTGCGTCTTGTTTTGCACGTAAAATACGGCAGATATCTTTCTTAATCAGGTTAATAATTTGGTTAGCATTCAAGACAGAATTTCAAAAAGTTGCAAGGTTCCTAGTTTGCCAAATCTAAAATAATATTGTAGCGATCAAGTAACAGTAGAACGAGAAAGAAGGTGAAGAAGCACGAGACGAGAAAGGAAAGAAAACACAAGAACAGTTAACAGAAAAAGGGAAATTAGAAAGATGAGACATATAGCATGTAAAATAATTCCACACAGCGTGCACGCGAGGGCAAAAAAGAAAACAATCCTCAATTGTTTCAACTTGGGAACACAGAGCACACTTATCAGATTTAACTTTGTATCCCCAAGTTTTCAGTGCATATCGAACTTTAATTGCGCGGTGAATTATGAGCCAAAGTAAATCAGTTTTCGTATTCTCGATCAACTTAAGACGAGACGCGTGCCAAACCACGGCCCACCACTTAATCGGCCTCTTAAGCGAAGCAGCCCAGAAACCAGAGGAATGCAGAGAGGCACTCGGAATATCTACAAGGAGACTATACAAATTTTTATAAGAAAAATCGTGCGGTAAAGAGCCGTGTTTACTATGCAGGGAAGATAACAGAGATAAACAATTACGATAAAAAGCAGACGGCCCGGAGGACAAAGGAATCAAACGAGAAGAAAAATCAAAAATCTGATCAAGATGAGAAAAGCGATTTCCGAAAAAGTAACGAGCTAGAAAGTACCATTTGCATGTGCCGAATCCCTCTCGATACCCAGAGAGACTCGACAAATGCAAACTTGAACACTTGGTTTAAAGTCAACAATATTCAGACCCCCACGTGCGATGGGGGCCATGCAATGCGCTCGCCTTACAGTTTCGGACTTGGATTTCCAGACGAAAGGCCAAATAGCTCGCTTATATTCGACAGAAACCCATTTGAGGGGGCAGTACTTTGGCAACATGCCAAAATCTGCTAGCCCCGAGGACGTCTAAAATCATGCCTCTGCCTAGAAAATAAAGATCTCTTTGCGACCATAGCCCTAAAGTCTTTTTTAACTTATCTAATTTCGATCACCAGTTTTCTTCATCAACAGTAACTAATCCGTTTGAAAATAAACTCCTAAGATTCTAAGTTTGTTAACCCATTGTAGACGGAAGGGGGAGGCACCATTAGTTCTCCACCTGCCGAGTCACATAGCTTCGGACTTGGCGGTGTTGAGCTCTGTCCCAGACCCCCTCTCATACCTGTTCACAGTCTCTAGAACGTGACAGAGAGATCTCTCGTTTTTCACAAAATTAGTGGCATCGTCTGCGTATTGCGATATCTTAAATTGAAGGCCACCTGTTCCAGGGAGCAGGAAGCCTTCAATCGTGGGGTTTTTGCGAATTTGGTTCGCCAAGACCTCAGAAGTTAGGACATAGAGAAGGGGGTAGAGAGGGCACCCCTGTCTAACCCCCCTCTCTAAGAAAACAGGAGTAGAAAGTTTGCCGTTACAAATGATCCGTGGAAAGACATTAGAATAAAAAATAGAAACCCAGCGACAAAAAGACGGTCCAAAACCAAACTTAGTTAACACTCTCATGAGGAACTCATGATCGACCCTGTCAAAAGCTTTCATCTGATCAAGCATGACTAAAATCCCGGTCTCATCTGTTTTGTTTCACGTCTAGGGTATCACGGATCAAGTGTAAGTTGAAAAAAATTGATCTACCATCTACACTACAAGTTTGATCAGAATGAACTATTGAGGGCATAACTTGTTTCAGACGATCCGTAATCATTTTGGAAGCTAATTTATAATCACAATTAAGAAGCGAGATAGGCTGCCAATTTTAAGCTAAACGTTTATCATCCTTATAAATAAGACGCAAAAGGGCCTCGTGCTGGCTCGTACAAAGAGACCCAACCAGAAAGCAGTCATTTAAAACAGAAAGTGGGGGATCGCACAACAAATCCCAGAAAGCCAAATAAAATTTGATAGGAAGGCCATCAGAACCAAGCGACTTACCAGTCTGAAGGCCTTTCAAAGCGGCAAAAAGCTCATCATTTGTGAATAATCCTTTGCATTGTTCTAGTTCCGCATCAGACTAAGAAAGGTCAAGATCATCTATAATTTCAGTCTGAATTTGCATATTAAGGGAATCCTTAGAGACTAGCACTTTGTAAAAGTCAACCAAAAAAAGCTCAATGTCATTATGCGAGAATTTTTCCTTGCCGGATTCATCGAAAAGGGACTCAAAAATATTATTCTCCGCGCGTTTTACACTCTAGGTGAAAAAAAGAAAACGAGTGGGTTTGTCGCCCTCCTCAATCCATCGCGCTCGCGAGCAGATTTTAGCGCCTTCACACTCGCTGTTAATGACTTCTTCTAAGGCAGACTTAAGTTTGTTTACATCAGAAATCTGGTCGCGATCGCCAGCAAAAACAGCCGATTTAGCTCTAAGTAAACGTTTAGTTCAACAACTGCGTTCGGAAAGAAGTTGTTTACGTTTTCGAGAGGAAAAATTGATACAAGTACGGCGAATCTGAATTTTCAAGTTATCCCACCAATCTGCTAGTGAACTAAACAGAGGAATTTTTTCCTTCTCAGTAGTAATCAAGAGGGTCATAGCATTCATAAAGTCATCATTGGAAGGAAGAGAACAGTTAAATTTCCAAACACTGCTTCCGTGAATAGAAACATTAACCGGGGGAAAAAACAAATCGACAAAGTCGTGATGTGAGAGGGAACAAGGGAAACAATTATTTCCGCGAACTGACTGGAGGAGAGAGGAAGAAATATAAAAACGGTCGAGACAAGAAGCCTGAGAAAAATCCTTATTAGAACAAGTAAAAGAAATCGCCTTCGCATTCTTCTTACGAAAAATATCAACAAGACAGAAATCGGACTTAAGGGCCGACAAGCAGCGCTTGTCGGCGCTAAAGTCCGATTTAATATTCAAGCGATCGAGGTCAGAATCAATACAATTGAAATTGCCACCTAAAATTAAATCACCAGGTGACAGAAAAAAGGCATGTAGACGATCAAAAAATAATCTACGGTCAGACACGGTGTTTGGAGCGCAAAGACAAATGACGTTAAACTTCAAAGAGTTATAATTAACAAGAAGACTTAAAATTCTGCCATCAGTGTCGTGAACATAGCGGATAACCTTCCCGGAAAAATTAGGAGAAATAAAAATAGCTACACCAGCCGATTTACCTATCCCAAAGGACCAAAAACATTGGCCCTTAAAATTCTTCTCAACAAGATCAGCTTAAGTTTTACAGGAGATATGCGTTTCTTGTAGAAGAAAAATATCATAATCAAGATTCTCATTTAACTCGTGAAGAAAAATATCGCGTTTACGGGCACTACCAAGCCCACGAATATTGATGGACAGAATTTTAATGGACCTGAAGGGAAATTATAATAAGTTTAGTGAGACCTACTTTTAGACTTCCGGCGAGAAACCGTGATCCATTCATCATCATCGGAACTGGAATGAGACTCTTCATCACGGTAGCAGTGGGAGGAACGGTCACGAGTAGAGCGGTCACCCTCACAATCACTCCTCTCATCCCTCCTATCATCTCGTTTGTCCTCGTCGGTCATCACGTCGATCAGCTCATCTGTCGTCCCGTCTCTCGTCACACCTGCCTTCTCTTCTGCACTCGTGGTCCTCGTGTTCACGATGACTTGCCTTGCGATCTCTCTCCTCTCTCTTCCTCTGTTCAAGCTCCTCGCATTCCTTTCGTGCGGTCGCGTTCTTCTTTCTTTGCGTGCTTTTTGCGCCTTGCTCGCTCAGCATGTGCTTTTTCATCCGCGCGCTTTTTCTCTTCCTCTGCTTGTTTTGCTACATCAGCTTCTTTTCCTTTTTCTGCTGCTTTGGCGTAGCTTACAGCTGTCACTTCCACCGTAGAAATATTCGAGCTGTATTAAATAGAAGGACAGCGCATAGTTGAGTGTGTTTCCATGAGGCAAACTCTGCAAAGAGACAGTAGCGTACATTCTTCGGATCGATGACCGGGTTTCTCGCAATTAAAGCAATGCTGCGAAGAACAGGTGGCCACTAAATGCTCCTCTGCACCACACTTTCTACAGGTCTTCGGCTGAGAAGGATACCATATTCTCACAAATTCAGCTGCAATAAAAGCTTGGGACGGGATGGGCTTATTGATACTCATTCGAGCCGTAGAACACCATTGAAAATACCCTCCGCAAGCCGGTCGCGTCAGAAAGAGTAAACCTTCCCGTAGTGAGACTGGCGGCCAATAACAACGGAATCCGGCAGCTCAACAGGGAGCTCATACAACTTGACAATAGAAACTCTATTCTCACAGTCCCCGAGGAAAACAGCACAGCCCGCAATCTTGACACTCGGCTCATTAAGGGCAGCATCCTTGGCGACTTTGGAATTGAAACTTACAATCCATGTGTTGTTGCTTGCTTTGCGCTGAATGAAAACGATGTTGTCAATATCAATTCCGGCCTTGTAGAAGCCAACGACAATGTCCTGGCTGGTAACAACCGTGTCAACCGAAAAACACACTGAAAATTCCTTCTCTATACGAGCCTGTTACCCAGCAAACTTCCATGAGTTAAAGGAAACGGTTTGGAATTTGTGTCCAGCATCCTGCAAAGCTTGCATAATATCCGGCAGCTCCGGGGGACATGATCAGAATTATCCGGGGGGGGGGGGAGCCCGTTGGAGGGTTTTAAAAAAAACCGGGCATTTCCCCGGTTCCATCACGTTTTATTTTCCCAATCAATGGCTCTCCCTGTGCAGGTCTTAGGTTTTCTTTTTTTTCGCAAGCGTACAGCGGCCTACGATATCGTGAGTTGCCTGGGGTTCAGGCGTTTGCTCTTCCACTCTTATCCGGCAGCCCCGGGGGACATGATCAGAATTAGCGGGGGGGGGGGGAGACTCGTTGAAGGTCTTGAAAACAACTCGGGCATTGCACTGGTACCATCACTGTTGATTTCCTCAATCAATGGCTCTCCCACAAGCGTGGAAGCAGTCGAAAGAGACATCTCGTAGGTCGAGACAGGTGCTCCTCTTTTACCACCTAAGAGATCTAGGGGGGCCTTTTGACAAGATCTAGCCAAAAGGCCGAGAGGCGATGCCCCTTTAAGTCCTCCGGACCTAGGATGGTTGGCTTCTTCCCCATCCTAGATATGGTTGTTGCAATACTGTCGCATCCCATGATGCATCTGGTACTAAGTGAGGACAGGGAGAAATCATTGACTCAGTCTGAGCACAGATACTTGGCCAAGCTCTTCAGGACACTACAGTGTGTGTCCGAGGCCCTAACAGCTCGGCCATTAACCTGTAGGAGGGCAGGGAACACGAAAACGAGGCAGACTGGGACCGCTTACTAGGCCCTAAAGGGTTTTTAAAGCCCCGAAGCTCCGTGTAAGTGGCCCTATAAATTTATTTACAGCTACAAAGGAAGACTTCATAGCCTGTTTTGAAGGTCAGGGTTGCCTGACGAGGGTAATGAAGTAATGCTTCGCTTACATGTTCACCATTCTCGGTATAAGAAGTCAAATTTTCTCTCTTTTCTCTCGCCTACGACCATACCACAGGGAGAACACCGGTTCTCGTCTGATCACTGAAGTTAAGCCCTGTCGGCCAGGGTTAGTTCTTGGATGGGTGACCGCCTGGGAATACCCCGTGTTGTAGGCTTCTTCTTTTCTTTATTTTTCATGGAATTTTTTCGTCATTTTTGCAGTTTTACTGCTTAATGGAATGTATCTCTGCTGTCAGTTCCAAAGTTACGCCGAATTATTCTTCGAAGTAATCAAGTTGTGGGGTCATTTTTTTTCACAATAACATAGCTTGGCCATAGATCGCGCGTTGGTTCGATAGCGCGCGGTAATATTCCATTTTGCTCTGTGACTTCAAATCACGGCTTGTGACATCACTTTTTTCAAATCACAGCTTCCACAAGTCTACCTTCGCTTTTAAGTGCCGAGAAAACGACCGCGAACACCAGAGAAACAAGCGAAAAGGCCAAGAACTACTTGCCCTCTATTGACAACACAAGACCGAGTTTGTTAGCATTTATTATTAACGGTCGACAGTTTAAATTAAACGCCGAAACCAGCGCCGTGCAGTAAAGACAACCGAGAGAAAAGGTGAGTTCAATATCTACAAGCAAACAAGTTCTGGTTCAAAGCAGTGAGAGAAATGTACTCACGGTATAGACGGATGTTTATGATCCTGCTTTCTTGCTTTTCAACTGTGGACCATCCTCGCTCTTGAACATCCCTTGCGACTTTCACTTTACCTTTGAGAGAGTAAAATATTTCAGTCTCTACTCTCTACTGAGCTGCTTTTTAAATAACATGCTAGCTTAGCTAGAAATCAACTTATATTCCAAGATAATTTACCTTCTTTCTTGGTCCCCGGAGACTTCTCCTCTTCTCTTTCCTTTCCGCACTCGCTCTCTCTCCGTGATTTATCGATTGATCACCTGTATGTGAAACACGCACACGTTACTGATCTGAGTCACTGGCACGCGTTTTTGAATAACCTGTGGACCGCGCTAAATACAAGAATTACTACAAAACCAGGGACTAGTGTGAACGCAGGTCCCCACTACCAGAAATTATACGCTCGAGTTACCCACATTTGGGGTAATCGCAAGGGTCAACCCAATGGAAGTGCAATGAGAGGGCCTCACCTTGAGAGGACTGCCTCCTTGATCACAGTGCCTCCTGCCAAGTTTTTTTTGTGTTTACAGTGAATGGTTGGCCCCCAGTAGGGTGGTGCAATGCCGCCAGACTTAAAGTCTAGTACCAGACACAGCAAACCGGGGCAGTACACCAGTACAGAAACTGTCTGGGGGAATCGAACCCCCACCCCTACAAACACAGTACAGGACAAGTCAAATACAAGACAAACGTACAGGACAGCAGAACAAGTAAAAAGACGTGGGCACTACACTAACTAAAAATACCTAAAAACACACTCACTTAAAAAGGCCCCGAAAGGGGAACTAAAACGAGGAAACCATACACACTAGCAAAGAAACGGGACCAGCCCAATGACACACTCACTCAAGCAAAGACTGGGGCCAGTACGACCAGTAAAGGAGACCAGCAGAAGGAGCCACAGTACAACCAACTAAGGCGACCATAGGAACCACAGACACACTCACTCTAACAGCAGATCCAGCAGAAGGCACTATAGTATAACACTCACTCAAGCAAGAACAAATAAGAAGGGGTTAAAAAGGGTTACAACATGATCGAGAGGCCACCCTCACCAATCGATCCCAAGGTACCATTTGCACACCACTGATGCTAGAAGTAAAGTTTGTGTCGAGCAGAGCGGAAACGCTTAAAATAGAGCGGTAAGTAGAAGGCCACCTGGGCCTTTACTTGACCGATAATTATGGCCCCCGGTCGAGTGTCCCGAAAACGAAAGTCGTTCCGAGCTAGCAAGATGAAGTACTTACAGATGTTCAAGAGATAAGCAAAGATCCTCGGAACAGAGAGCAGCCTGTCTGGAGAGAAGCCAAAAAGGACATGACGCAGCGATAAAGATTGGAGCCAGGAGAGAACACTTTGTGCCAGGAGACACTCATAAGACAGATGGTGAGCGGTGTCCAAAGGCGAGGAGCAGAAACAAGCAGGATCTAAGGTGTAGCCAAAAGAGAGGAGGCGATCCACAGTATACAGCACTCCATGTGCAATCTTCCAGTTAAGGTCAATAACAGGGCGGTCTAGCGGAAAGAGAAATAGAGTCTTCCAGGTGGTTGGCCAGTAAAGGTCACCAAAAATAGGACGAAACTTAGCAATGCAGTGCGGCGGGGAGAGACTAACAGACAGAAGGTACGAGTAGCAAGATTTAGCAGACGTGCTAATGCCGGCATAGTATGCTCAGATGATGAAGAACCCATAACCGGACAGGAGCGAGAAGCGGAAAAAGAACCATTGACACTACATCAAGAGAGCAGAAGTGACTGATAGAACCAGGGCAAAGCAACAGGACTGAACGCAAAGGGTTGTGAAAAAACATCAAGCACTGAACAGTTGAAACACGAGAAGAACCAAAAAGTAAGGAAGTGAGACCAGTTAGCATGAGAGGAGATAGACCTCCTCACCCACTGAACAAGAAGAGATTAAACCTTCTGTTGCACGTCTACCACCGAGAAACCACCCTGATCAGTGGTTGAACGACAACAGATCTACGTACAAGTTCACGTTTACCACCCCAGAAGAAATGTAAGGCTAGCCTAACCAATTTCAAGGTAACCCAGTCGGGCATGTGGATTAGAGAAGCCACATACCACATTCGGGACAAAGCAAATGCATTAATGACTAAGGCTTTGCCCTTAAAAGACAGAGACCGTTGCCTCCAAGAAGAAAGAACCTTTTCAACTAGTATCGATCCTTGGTTGCCAATTGTCAACCTCGAGGTCACCAGGGCCAACAGAAACGCCCAGCATCTTGATTTTAACCGAGGACCAATCAAGTGGAACTGGAGGATCCAGCCTACCAACCCCACTGCCTAACCAGAGACCTTTTGATTTGTTTTGATTGAGTTTTGCTCCCGAGCCCTTCTCATAAACGGCATATACCTCAAAGATTGCACAAATAGATTCATCGGAAACGACAACGAGAGACATGTCATCTGCATATTGCGAGATGAGCGAAAGAGGAGACGAAAACCCAGGGAGGGTCAGGCCTTCGATACAGGGATTAGCTCTAATGTTAACAGTCCACCTCAGACACAAGCACATACAAGAGTGGGGACAGAGGACAGCCTTGGCGCACCCCCCGTGACAGTGAGAAGAAGGAAGATAGATAGCCATTAACAGACACAGCACTAGAAACGTCAGTATAGAACAAGTCCACCCATTTAACAAAAGATTGGCCAAAGCCTATAGTTAGTAAAGTTGAACGCATGAATCCCCAATCCACACTATCAAAGGCCTTTTCTTGATCAAGGGAAAGGATGGCAATGGGTTGTCCAGAGAAAGAAGCATAGTGGACAACATCCCGCAAAAAAAGCAACATTTTCACCAATGTACCTCCCCGGGACCCCACACGTCTGGTCATCCGCAACAACGAGATGGATGACTTTAAGTAGACGCCCAGCAAGAACCCTAGCAGCCAGCTTGTAATCAACATTAAGAAGGGAGATTGGTCGCCAGTTGCAAGGGTCAAGCCGATCACTCTTCTTAAATGACAGAGAGATGACACCACGACGTTTAGAGGAAGAGAGAAGACCCGCATCGAAACAAGAGTTAAGGACAGTGACAAGATCAGAGCCAAGAACATCCCAAAATTTAACATAAAACTCCACGGGCAGGCAGTCGGACCCGGGGCCCTTGTTTCTGGCCATACCCATGAGAGCCTCTCGACATTCCTCTACACTTAAGTAACCCTCACATAGGTCAGCCTGATCCCGAGAAAGTGCAGCAGACAGATTAGAAAGGAGAGACTGTTGAGCAAAGGAGTCCACAGGGGAAGCAGTGAAAAGATTCGAGTACAAGGCAGAGAAAGAATCACACGGGTCATGCAGGTCAGATACAATACGGCCACTAGGGTTGCGAATAGCAGAGATCCACCTATCAACGGGGCGCTTCTTCTCCAAACGACAAAAGTAAGACAAGGAGGTCTCATCTTCCTTGACCCAACGGGTCCAGGAGCGAACCTGGGCTCCCTTGGCTGCAGCAAGATCAAACTCAGCCAGGCGATTTAGCGTGGAGCGATAAGGCTCATGAGCTGAGACCAAATCCTCATCGAAATGAGCCTTCAAATTAACAGCAAGGCGCACCAAGAGATCTCTAGATGCACGAGTCTCCCAAGCCTGCCGAACACAATAATCTTAAGTAAGCTGCCGAATCTCTCTCTTACCAACCTCCCACCACTTGGCGAGGCTGGAGAAGGAAGTCACTTTAGTACACCAACCATTCCAAAAAGATGTAATTAGCTGAATGTAGCCGTCCTCATGAAGGACAGAGGCGTTCAACTTCCGGAAACCAGGACGAGGCAGAAGGACACCAGGAACAAAGACAGAAACCAGAAGAGCACTGTGGTCAGAAAGGGGACAAGGAACAAGGTGACAAGACGACATAGACGCTACCCAAACATAAGGACAACCAATCAGATCAATACATGAAGAAACGGTGCCGTCCAGCCTGGCCCAAGAGAAGCCTGCCGTGTCGGGGTGAAGATACCGCCAGGCATCAACAAAACAAGAAGACTAAGAGAGCGCTTTCAGAGCAGCAGAACTCTCCCTCTAGGTGTCAGAGGAGTGTGGGGACAGTAGGATCAAGCTCATCAGCAATTTGCCCGAGAAACTCATTCCTTGCAGGGTTGCGATTCGGGGCATATAAAGAGACAACACGAAAAGACTGATCATGATAAGAAATATCACACTACAGGAAACGACCCTCCTCGTCAGCCCAAGACTGGACTAGGGACAAAGGACGGAAGAGGACAATACATCCACAAGATTTAACGGAACCAGGCGAAACAACACTTAGGAAACCAGAAGAAACTACGATGGCTGTGCCGTCCGAAATTCACACTCAGTTACGATTTTTGGGATTTCTGCTGACGTCACCATTTATGAGACTGGTTTGGGGCAGTTTGGACTGGTTGTTTTTGCTAATTAATTGGACAAAACGAAAAGTACTGAAAGATAAGCCGAGGATATATAGTAATGAGTATGATGCCGTGTTTACATTCAAACGTTTACTGCGGTTTAAATTGGCCGAGGTCAAGTTAACTGAACCTAAGTAGATTAGTGCAGTGTTTATACTGGCTCAAATAACCAAAGTTAATCCGTCAACACTGCCAAAAATCGAATTGGCGGGAAATACAAGCTAATGCGCGCAATTTTTAAAACATGGTCAGTATTAACAAGAAAGCGGTGGCTCTGATAGTCATTGCCTTTTTCTTTTTAATTCTTGAGAAGCAAGTAGAAGCGTCTCGATTACGGCAACTGCTGATACTACAACACCTCAAGAAAGTGAGGCGAAAACGGATGATTTTACTCCAACTTATGCAGCGAAATAGCAGGCGAGCGAGACGTGCTTGGTCCTGGCCAAGGAACCAATTCTGGTTCGAAAACCTACTAAACGGGTCTTTTGTCGAAGATTGGTGGAAGGAGAACTTCCGAATTACAAGACGTACCTTTGAGTTTATTATCCGTGTGGCTGGTCCGGAGATGGCGAAGAAAGACACCAGACTGCGGCAATGTATCCCAGTGCACAAGAGAGTAACGGTAGCATTATGGCGGCTAGCAACGGGCGACACATACCGATCTACAGGACTACAATTCGGTATTGGACGGTGCACGGCCATGTTGATAAAACAGGATTTTTGCAATGCTATTGCTAAACGTGCTAAAGAACTAACCAAATTTCCAGAAACCGAACAAGAGGTGCTACAAAGTATTAGATTGTTTACAAACAAGTCTCCATTTCCCCAAGTAGTAGGGCTATTGACAGTTGTCATATTGCTTTGGAGACAGTGCCTGTGGACGAGCGAATTGATTACTTCAACCGAAAGCAAGAATATTCAGTTGTGATTCAAGGTGCTGCTGACGCGTCATTTCGATTTCTCGATATAAGTGCAGGCTATCCTGGTAGCATTCACGATGCGCGTGTTCTTTGTTTAAGCAATCTGCACAGGGAAATTGAACAAGGCAACTGGCTGAACGGGCCTACAAAACAAATTTCTGGTTCCGAAATTAGACCTTTGCTTGTTGGAGACTCAGCATATCCCTTATCTGTTTGGTTAATGAAGCCTTTTAAGCAAACGTACGTTAAGTGAACGACAACTGCGGTTTAATCGTGCTCTCAGTCAAGCCCATGTTGTTATCGAACAGGCCTACGGAATCTTGAAAGGGCGGTGGAGGTGCCTTTACAAGGCAGTGGAAGAAAAGACAAGTAGAGTGGCCATCACGATCTTGGCATGCTGTGTTCTTCACAATATTTGTATCGATGTGGGAGACCCTAGCCCCATAGACATATTGGGAGATGACGACGATGACATCGATCAAAGTTTAAATGGAGACGTATCGCCAATTGCGTCTGATGTTAGAGACAAAATTATGGACTATTTATCAGCTTAGGAAAATAGACAAAAATAGACCAGGCTCATATTAATTTTTCGCTTACTCGTGTCACTTTCTTTATTTTCGCGAAAAAGTAGCATTGTAGCTCAAGTTTGTACACATGTACATGTAAATATTCGTTAAAGTTTTGAAAGCTAACAAACTTCTCAACTGTTTTGTTTACAAATTATAGACACAGCGATTTTGAGCAATCATTTAAAAATATAAAATGATTGATTAAAGAGTATACGATCGAATACAATTATTCATAATTTTAAAATACCAGATGTTAACATCTCTGGTTTGATTTGTGATCACTAAAAGTTGATCACCATGTATCCAAAAACGTTTTTTTATCCAAAATCTTTTCAACACGACATTCAGCTAATTAATAAATGATTTTGTATTAATGGATCCACTATTTCGTGACAACAGAACACAACAATAAAAATACTAAAAAGGGTGTTCATTCGTTTCCTTTACTAACGTCCTTGAGGATGTTTCCGAGCATAGCAAGGGCATCCATGGAAAACTTCTGCTGATCTTTCCTGTATTCTCTCTCGGCTTCAGCCATCCGCTCCATAAAAGCCTCGTCCCTTTCTTGTGAGCGTTCAAGAAATGATATCAAGGTTGGCTCATCTACTCCTGATGATCCG